TCACTCTACACCGCGGCTCCCTGCGTGTTTTACAATTCATTTTAAGATTTTACTGATTACTTTTAAAGCTCTCCGTGGCCTAAACCCACGCAGCACATTGAGATCCTCGGGGGCAGAGGTCTCCTGGTGGTTCCAAATGCAAAATTAAAAACAAAAGGGGGATAGAGCATTTTCCGTTTGGGCTCCAAGACCCTGGAACGACCTGCCCGAGGAGATCAGGTCGGCCGAATCACTCATCTCTTTTAAGTCTCTTCTTAAGACACACTTTTTCCGGCGAGCCTTTCCTGATTTTTGTTGATTTTAAATTGTTACTATTTTCACTTCCTTTAAAAGATTCTGTATTCTACAGTTCTTTTAAAAAAGGGATTTTATATCTTCAAGTGATTTTTATTCCTTAATCTTGCTGTTTATTATTCTATGACCTGCCTGTTTTTATATTTGTTGTCCTTGTAAAGCACTTTGTAACTTGTTTCTGAAAAGTGCTCTATAAATAAAGATTATTATTATTATTAAAGTCCGAACACGTTTTGAGTTTTTAAGACATTTCCAGATTAAACGACACTATTTGGAGTGTTTTTAAATCTTCATGTTGATCTCCAAACTGGTGTCCATTAACATCAATGTGAGTGAACAGCAGTTCTCTTTGCATTCCTAAAAAGACACAAATCACTGTCTGCCCTGACGTGGGGCAGCTAGCGTCTCATGCAGCTCTGACAGATGGAGATGAGGTTGGATGGCGGTGAAGCGGCGTCATGTGACTACAGTGTGACAAAAAACACAAGCATGGAGACAAGAGATGCTGTGGATCTTAGAAAAGAAAAAAGGGTCTTTTTGTACCTGTTGACTCACCTTAGTCCAAGGATGTGCCTTAATCTGGGGGAACTTGAACTCGGTGTAGTTGGGGTTCATCTCCCTGATTTGCTCTCGAGTCGGGGTGCCAAGAACCTGCAGGGGGGAGAGGACAGACGACACCCACATGTAGCTCGTTAGCTTCATTCTCTATTTACTTGTTTGCAGTTAAAAAAGAAGTTTGTGAAGACTTTTTTTCCCCCCGCCGGTGATCACCTTGATAATTTCAACCAATTGATCCACGCCGCTGTCACCGGGGAAGATTGGTTGTCCTAGCAACAGCTCTGCCAGCACACAGCCAGCTGACCACACGTCTAACAGGAAGAGACAGAAAACATGAAGAAGATAATTAACAACCTGGACAAACATCAGACAAACCTTTTGATGATAAAAACATTAAACAGGATTGTTATTTAGCTGACTGAGTGGATGAGGAGTTAAAGGTGGGCTTGTTACAGCTGCAGGCGGCGTACCTATGCTGGAGGTGTAGTCGGTCGCACCGAAGATGAGCTCAGGAGCTCGATAGTAGCGAGAGCAGATGTACGACACGTTGGGCTCTCCTCGGACCAGCTGCTTAGCACTGCACACAAAATCAAAAGCACACAATTATCACCACCATACTCTGCTGCTTTTAGAGCAACAGAAGAAGAAATACACACCTATGGAAAAAGTTTCTAACATGCACTATTATCTTATATTATCCTATTTATCTTGTACATATAAGTCTTTGCTTATTTGTTTATTTTTGTGTTTATTGTTGATATTTAATGTTGTTCACCAAAGTTAAATTCCTTGTGTGTTTAAGAATACCTGGACAATAAATCTGATTCTGATGTTTTTTTTAAAGAAAACTACAAAACAACCGTCCACTATTAGAAAGTCAATATGGAAACCGTTTTGGTTCATTGGTGAAAATTGAAAATGATCAAACCACAATACACTCTTTAAAGGAGTAGTTAGACGTGCTTGTATCCACCCCTCTAAACATGCAGACTATAGTCACTCATCGTGATGTGTTCACTGTCCTCACGTTAAGTCTGCTCAGCAATATGAGGAACTGATGTACTCACCTAAAAACTACATCAATTAAAAGATATCTGGTTCTACCTACATCTCAGATTGTTCAATATGTTTCTGTATTCAAATATGCTTCAATCTTAGTTTATTCAAAGTATGGTGGTTTAAAAAAAATTCTTTAAGAATTTTTAAAAACTCTCAAAGTAAGAAAATTGAAAAAAAGAAGTTGCAACCCTTTTGCAATAATATGAAGGTTAATAAATCAGTGAAATCTTGGAAAGTCTGCAACCAAAGCTGTCTACGGTTATGAACACGACTTTGAAGTTGTCACCATGAGTTTATTCATCAGTTATCTCCTCTTCTTTCCCCTTAGCTTAGTTAGCTTACCAAGCTGCTGGCACGAGCGTTATGTCCTCAGCAAGACAGTGAAGCAGGTTTGATGAACAAAATATCGAACTGTCCTGAACATGCGGGAAAAAAACAACAAAAAAAAAAACCCAGCCCACGTGTGAGAGAATGTGTTGAAACACGGCGACTGCGTCTCACCTGCCAAAGTCACAGAGCTTGAGCACGGCGGTCTCTGGATCCAGCAGCAGATTCTGAGGCTTGATGTCCCGATGACAGATCCCAAACGAATGGATGTATGCCAGGCTCCTGAACAGCTGGTACATGTACAGCTACACACAGAGACACACACACACACACACACACACACACACGTTAGCACTATACAAACAGCCGTCAAGTTTTCACTTCAGGATTAAAGGATAGAAACAACTACTAAAGACTTTAAATCAAACTAAAGCACAGAACAATTCATCATGATGTCTCACAAAGCCTCTTCAAACTCCTCAACTTTATAAACACGACCGTTTAGAGACAAAATCATCTGTGTGCTACATCTCTATCACAAACGTGTGACAGCAGTGACTCTGATTCTTTAGCTCTTTATGCAGCATAATAAATATTCAATCAGCATTCACCTCTTTTAAACACACAGAGTTTCAGATAAAGCTAGGAGACATCTTCATATCGTTTTAAGTTTTTATTCCACACAGCTCCATCAAGTTTTAACTTTCTTGTGAGATGGAAGAGATGAACTGTTCTGTGTTGTTGATACGGTGAGACAATATGTGGAAGGTGTACCGGGTTCATATACTGATGATCACTTATTCTTTGGTGTACTTGTGAATAAATCATTAAAAAATTCTCAACCAAAAACATTTAATCAACCACAACTTGAGGATCTTACACAGTGTGGAAGGATGCAGTGATAAGACACAGAGTACGCTGTGCGATGATTTGATTTAGTATCTAACCTGGTCTTGTTTATAATGATAAGTTACAGGAACTTGTGTACCTTGACATAAACCATGGGCAGAGTCTGTTTGGCTCGGCTGTAGTGTCTGGCCACTCTGTAGACGGTCTCAGGAACATAATCCAGAACCAGATTTAGATACACTTCATCTTTCTGTCAGGAGAGGAAGAAAAGAACACAAAAGGAGGTCAGACGTGCACATACAGAGGAGAGAAAATAAAGTCAAAAGCATTGTGTGCAATGAGAAAATCCCTGCAAATGCTAACAATATGCTAACAATAAAACCCCTACAAAATAAATGACATTCAAATGACTCGTTCCAGCTGCCAAGTAGGTCAGGAAAAACTTCCTGTCAATCCCTCCTCCTCCTCCTCTCTGTCTCTCCTTGGCTGAGTAAACTTCCCCTGATGAAAGAAGCTGGTTGTGTTCTGATGCAGCAGACAGTTTTAGTCTGACTGCTGGTCCGTTGTAAAAGGACTCTTCCTTGAGGACAGGAAACACATCCAAGCATGCGTCATAACGGCCTGTACTCCAACAAGCGGCCGCAGACAATGATATCATTTCCTTGTTCTGTGGTTGGAGGAGGCATGGATTGAAGGGCGGGGTCTGTGCACGTTCCCCCCCGCTGGAGAGCGCTGACCCGGAGAGGATGCTGTGTCGAGGCTTCTCCACCCAAATGGACTTCCTCTTTGCTTTGATTCTGAGCAGGGTTAGCTGCAAACTGAGTCACGGGGTGTTTCTAATGGAGCGACTGTTTGAGGCCTTTAAATCAATCTGCAAATCAGTTTTAGCTCTTCTTCCTGTCACTAAAGGTTTGAGTGATGGAAGCAGCTCCTCAGATGTCACACATTGGGCCTGCTGAAGAGTTTTCAGGTTCAGATTCTTTTTTGTCCCACAAGGGGAAATTTGCGTTGCAACAGGAGCACACAGAAGACCAGAAACACAAAGACAACATCACCATGAAACATAAACCAAAACGAATTGGAAAATCAGACAACACAGCAAAATATAAAACCAAAATAAAAACAGTCAAGAGCCCGGACCAGAATGGAAATTCAAGTTATTAAAGAGCAAAGTGGAGGTGTGCAAATGTGCAAAAAGAGCAACAAATAGCTAATTGTTGTTTAACATATTAATTGCTCTTTGTAAAAATGAGACCTGGAGTCTTTTGGTCTTCCTCACAGGAGCTCTAAAACGACGACCTGAGGGTCAAAGGTCAAACTCACTGTGAAGTGGGTGATCACACGTATGGCCCTAGCTGCTGATTATTGGAGTTGGAACATGTTCAAGCATCAAAAAGGTTTGAACTTTCTGTACAGTTCCATGGATGTTATTGTTTATTAAAACTCGACCACTCGTGTTTCAGATGATAGAATTATTCGACCTATCAGATCCCCTGCAGGGAAATGAAGTGAATACTGAAACACTGAAGCTTTGTGTGATCGTGTCACCGACCTGACTCCATCCATTAAAACACACAGTGTGAGACATACTGCCCCGGGGCCTCCAACTTCAATTCATTTAATTATTCTCTCTCTCTCTGACTGAGTGTCCATCCCCCCCCCCCCATCTGTTCAGAGTTCACAGTCCAGCTGACACGCTGCTGACTTCATGTCCATAGAGCTCAATGAGTGACTCAGTTCATTCTGTGAAAAGCTTCCTAGACTCACTTTTTTTGGTACATGTCGTTTGGCTCAACACCTTTCCTTGTACTGGTTTCCCCTCCCCCCAAACCATTAGACATGTATGGTGACTTATTGTTATACAGAGAGAGAAACAGGTTCAGATATCATGACTGACCAGAAGCGTTTTCCAAAACAGCTCGCTAACATTGATCGTTTCATTTATGCACACATTGGTCACTCGTTCCCTTCCCCCTCACACTTTTCCTCAGTGTGCTTTTCTCCTGTAGCCGTGTGCATATGTGTGTGTGTGTGTGTGTGTGTGTGTGTGTGTGTGTGTGTGCAGTGCACCCAGTCTTTCTCCAATCCCATTGATAACATTTGTGACGACTACAGGGCCCCGCTCCACCTTCCTGCTAGCGCCACCAAAACTATATTTAGCCTAGCAACAGTGATGACTCACTTCCTGCCTACACTACAAAGCCACTTCCTCGACTCTTTCCCAGATGGTTAGCCAGTGGCGGGGATGTGATTGGCTCCTTCGCTCACTCCCGGGCTAAATAATTCAGCCTCCAATTTGCTGAGAAAAACCGCTTGCACCTGAACAACTGCTTCAGCGATCTATCAGCTACACCCACCGCGCTGCGTCGCAGAGAAGAGACAGGGATGGATGGAATCTGTGCAGTATGAAATGCACGGTATAAGTTAAGTGTACATGTGTGTATCTAAGTTGGCAATTATGCATAGTACACATGAAAATACATGTGATTAGAGAACCAGCCGTGATGACATATCTGTGAAAAACAGAAAGAAGGGACAAACTGTGTGAGGAGCATCACTCATTTTGATATTTAAAAAAAAAATGTGAAAAATTGTGCAGGGACCTCAGATCTGAAACAGGCACTTGCATTGTCATACTTCCATATCGTTCTAAAAAAAGCACAGATATATATAAATACAGGACATTAACAAAGGGGTATGATCACTACATGTGATTACAACAGAGAGACATTCACACCAGTGTGAGAAACACGAGGGACACCTTGTGTCGCTCAGTCTGGGCGGGGTCAGTTATTTCATCGTCTCAGCAGAGCATGAAATGCGGTCACATTATTAAAAAACAAACATGTGACTTGCACTCGTCCATCTTGGTAGCTTCAGAAATATTCTGAATGCATCATTATCTGCCACCTGCAGCTTTTTTATTTTAGCTTTACTGCACTCAAAGTCTCGTGTGTCTCGTGGTTTCATCACGCTCCTGAGGGGCAAAAAAAAAGAGACGTTTTGGAAAAAGATGTGTGTAACCCAGGTTAATTTAATTTGATTTAGCCTTCTGTTTTTTTTCTTTGAGAGGGGAGTGACCTCAGTGAAACTCCATAAATTATGATTAATTGTTTTTCATTTTATTTTGTATTTATTTATTTCCCTATTCTTTTTTTCCTCCATAACCTCACCTGAACTCCGCTAAAATCTATCAACCAATCAGAGCTCATCCCACTTATCATAAACATCCAGTTCACGCGGTCACTTCCTCTCATCTCATGCTTGCACAGACAGAATTGTTTGGTTGTCCAAGACGGGACAACTGTTGCATGCATTTACACAGCGGTGAGTTTGTATATTGTGTATTATAATGTTAGATCGAGTGATTAATGTCGTTGTTTATTTTCTCCTGCAGGAATCCCCTTTGAGAAACACGTGTGCTCACCTGACTTCTTTCTCCCCTCAGTGTGTGTGTACTGTAAGTAAAGATCTCCTACAGAGCAACGAGCAGACAACACATGACAGCTTCACTATTTCTGAAACTACTCTGACACCATTTCTCCCCCAGGAAAAACAAACATCATGTAAACACAACCTGAACAGATTGTCAACAGGGTGTTAGAGACGTTATATTTTCTGTTTTTATTGAAACACATGATGCTTGCTCAGGTATGTTATCTGGTGTCTGTACTGGTTATTAGTGGATCAAACATGGAATCATAAAATGTTTCAGTTCGGCTCAAAAGGTCACAAAGACGTGATTAGAATTAAAAACCATATAAAGCGGGCCAATTAACCAACGCGCCATTATAATCATTCTCTACCATAAAAGCTGATTTTCCTTTTCTCCTCTTCTTTAATTTGTCTCGTTCTTGTTTTGCTTTCTTTTACACCTTATTGTTCTTGTTAGCTTTATTGTTTTTGCTTGGACTACATTAATAATTTGTCTGTGTTACATGTTTCTCTTTAGGAGGGCTACACTCGACGAGCCCCTCTGGCTCCGCCAGCACATTTCTTTCAAAATGAACATTTTGTTAATGAACTTATAATTATGTACTGTCTGTTTTTCATTGATCTATTGTGTTTGTTTGTGCAATAAAAAGAAGAAGCCCCTAGACGTAGGTGATGTGTGTCTATGAGATGGAACTTTAATAGCATATGGTGTTGATTATACTTAAAGGTGCTCGATGTAAAGGTAGGTTGAGTTTTATTCAAGCATAGGTGGACTTGTTTCAGTGACTTGAAGTTTAATAAAAGCGTTTGTATGTTTTTCTATAAACTCATGTGATTCACAGCCACCACAGCACAGGGCAGCTCCAAGTCTCTCACACACACACACACACACAATCTTTGTCACTACAGATTTTTAAAGGAGGCACAAAGTCAAACCGCTGTTTGCCAACTTGCCCACGCAGTTTGGACCTGTGGCCTTCCTTGTTTGAACAGTATTATATAAGTGGTTAAAGGGTAAAAGCAGTAGCACGCTGCGCCACATGCCAGCCGTTACATAAGCCTACCTGTGCACATGTTGACGGCTTACAACAACAGCTGTGGTCCTAACCTGCTCACAGCTGCAGCCAGTGTGAAGCCTCCCATCAGGGAGAGTGACAGCGCACACACAACACACACACACACACACACACACACACACACACACACACACACACACACACACACACACACACACACACACACACACACACACACACACACACACACACACACACACACACACACACACACACACACACACACACACACCTGACCTGACCCCATCTCATCTCTGTCTTATCCTCTGCTCTTTTTTAACAAATCTGTCAACAAATCACACCTGTTCTGTTCTGGCTTGCTGTTGGTTTCCAGTTTAAGATTTCATTATTTGGTTTTTTAAATCCCTTAATGCGCTGGCGCCACAATATGTGTCCGAGTTGTTGCACCTCCATGCTCCAGTCAGAGCGATGCGGTCAACACAGCAGATGGATGTTCCAAGGTGCAGCAGGCTAAAAACCCCCGAGGTGACAGAGCTCCCAATCTGTGGAACAGTCTACCTGTTAATATAAGAACTGCTCAGTCCATCAACAACTTCAAACCTTTGCTTGAAACTCACCTCTTTGCTCTGACTTTTAAATCCATCTGAGCTTGACATTTTTACATTTTATTCATGCTCCTATTTATTGTGTTTTTATTGTGTTTCATTCTATATCTTATTTTATTTGTTGTTTTTACATTGTGTTTTTGTACAGCTCTTTGGTCAATCAAGGTTGTTTTAAATGTGCTCAAGAAATAAAGATTGATTGAACTTGTCTGCATTAACTTCCCTGAAATTACCTTTTGCCTTTTATTCACCAGCAACACAAACTCCTTCCTTTCTCAATCTGGGCTCTATAGGTGGTAAATGCCCACACCAGCAACACTGTGCCAGTCTCCATAATTAGCATTGAGTGATAGTGAGGAGGGGGGGATAAGAAATGGATACATGACAGAGAATACAGGGGTATTTAAATGGTGCAAACGTGGCAGAGATTAGAATAGACACAACTGAATATTGTGGATAAACAAATAACTCGATCCTGTTAGTGAACTTTATCAAATTTGGAATGGAGTGGGGTCGACTCTCTGCCAAGTCAGTATACAAAGAATTAGCTCTGATTCCCAGAGATCAGAGAGCACATGGCACAAGGCGGGGGCGGGAAGTGGGCGGGGCTTACAGCACTGAGGGGGAGGGCCAAAATCGTGTGAGTCTAAAATTAACCGATACCCAGTGAGTGGTCGGCTCACTGGGGGCCCTCTCACCCGTCTCTCATTTGTCTCTCCTCTCACACACACACACACCATCATCCCCCCCCCCCAGCCTTTCCTTTAGCCTCAAGAGGTGTGCAACATGGGAGCATTCCAATCTGCAGAGTCATGGTTAAAGTCCCCTCTGCATGCGAGCGTGTGCCAGGTTCATGTGTGGCTATATTTGACACATGGAGCGCTGCCTGTTCCGTCAGATAGTTGAATGACATATCCTCGCCTTGTAGTCTCCAGCGGACCCTCCAGACAGACGGCAAAGGGCGGGGGGCCACAGCCGAGAGAGAGAGAGGGACTTCCCTTTGCCCATTGTACCGTCTGAACGCACTAATGAATATATGAAAGGCCAAAGAGAGGGAGTCTGACGGTGCAGCAGACAGGTTACATAAACCTCTAAAAAAAGGCAGGAAAGTTTAGATATTGTGCGTATTAATAGTGATTACACTAAGTCTGAGACGTGGGGGGGGGGGGGGGGGCAATATTATGTTACCAGTGTGATTAAAGCCAGCTGCTCAATCCTTTAAACACTTTAATCCCAGGAACACTTTATGGTGCATTTGAAGATGAAGAGGCTCAACATGACACAGAGGAGGGAGGAGGGATCTATCTTTCCTGAAAACTACAAAAGTTGAATGTGTTTAAAAAGCTTTTTAAACTTTAAGAACTGTGATATTCAAAAGAATGGATTAAATGTTAAGATTTGACATTAAATACAAAAAAGACTAACATATAAAGACTGAATCGAACATGTACAACGATTCATTCCCAGAGCCTCAAATGGAGTTTGGCGCTGATACTTGTGTTTATTTTAGAGAGGAAAAAATTAACTTATGGACTATCATAAAAGGTCCAATATCAAACTTTTGAGCAGACCGCTGTCCGCTTATTTATTACACTGTTACGTGTTTTCTAGACAGAGGTGACGGCATCGTGGAGCGAGCATTTTTAGACACACTATAACATGTTTTACTAATCGACCCCAAAGCAATGTGTTCTGTAAGGAAAGTTTCATATCGCTGCCTTTCATCTACACCATTTATGATGTTTGTGTGAAAACATGGGCGGAAATCACGGGGGGGACAGGGGGGTCCGGACCCCCCCAATCCTAGAAAAATAGATAATAAAATAAAAAAATCCTGTTAATTGTCGCCCCCAATAGTGAAGTGAGATATCCGCCCTCGTGTGAAAAGCAAAAACTGGCCAAAAAACACGGTGACAGATCCATCTGTTGGGCTCTCGTATAACAGTCACTACTGTGCCTTAGGAGGAAGAGCGTGTCCACTGATCACACAGTTGCCTAGCTCCTCCTGAAGTGTTAAATCCCCCCCACATTGGTCTGTTCTGCAGTTGACTGCATGGATGAAAGCTCAGAAGAAGAAGATGAAAGAAGCATCACTCATCCCACTGACCTTGTCTCCACTGGAGTAGAAGAAGTAGCGCAGGCGGACGATGTTGCAGTGATCCAACTTCCTCATGATCTGCAGCTCGCGGTTCTGTGAAACACAAAAAACAATCATGACACATCACATTGAAGTCTTAAGGGCCAGGTTTCAAAAAATCAAAGTGGAGCTTTAGGAGACTTTGAAGGCTTTTCATTTGACCTGCAGCACAACTGTGGAAAGTTTCACTCAAGGACCAAAAAGTGAAAATGCCAGAAGCATGGGTCAGTAGTCTTGTTTGCACTGTTTCTGTGTCTTGTGACTGAAAAACACTTGTGTCACTAATCCTCTCAGAAAAACAATCACCTTGTTGTCAGCTACGTCGTCGTCACGAGCTCAATGTGACAGAGTGTCAGGAGTCCAGATGACAAAATGAGATGAGGGTGCAGAGAAAGAATGCTTTTAAAAAAAAAATAGAGAAAATGGAGAAACATTCCTTCAGGGACGGATTCATCCCAGGAGTTTAAAACATGATGACACAGTAATGCACTGTGTGGCAGAATGCCTGTTCCCATCAAAGCAACAACAATTACAACAAAAGAGCAGTGGGAAGCACAAAGAGATCGGAAAACAAACCCCGTAATAGAAACACTTAAGAAAAGTCAACTTTGTTAATAATGGGACATGCAGCAGGATCTCTCAGAGCCACGAGAGCAAAATGATGGCACTCACACACAGTGTCCATGCAGAGAGTGGCTTTGCTCATGGACTTTAACGTTCTGTTGGCGGGCGGGGATAAAACCATTACATTAAGCTCTGCTCTACAAACAGATCCATTACAGTTTATACTCCATTTCTCCACTTCTTCTTCCCTCCATCCTCTTCATCACAGTGTTTTAAGATGTTCTTAAAGGGACACTTCACCCGTTGAAACATGAATCTGTGTTGACATTGGGTCATATATGTAGAAATGTGAAATACATTTTGAAGTTGGAGCCTTCTTGACCGAGAAAAGACAGAAAGTGTCTTTTTGGCTCATGTTGATGAAAGACACCAAATCCCAGAATGCACAGCACCGCAGGCCAGCGGCGGCTAGAGTTAGAGTTAAGTTTCGATTCTGGGAGTGAGTTCCCACCCACTGATCTGTGATTGGTCTGTAGCTTCAGTGGTCGATATGAGGAACTAGCGTTGTAGTTTCACCGCGCTAACAGCAACAGCTTCCAGTGATGCAAAAATGGTCATCTTGCGTCACTGGAAGCTCCTTTACAGACTCAGAAATACAAAGAGTTTACATCTCAGGGGAAAATGAGGGCGGGATGCACGACCATTCAAAAATACTACCAGGTTTCTAATGATACAAAGATTAATGCTAATGGGTGAAGTGTCCCTTTAAGTGCTTGTGTAACATTTCAAGATTGTGGAATGGAAAACCAACGGAAACAAACGGAGAGCAGAAAACAGCGATTGAGAAGTTGAGAAACCATATGATAATCTGTTTTTTATTTGATAGCAGCTACATTAATAGAAGACAGGTTTTGCACTATTTGATGTCACTTGTTTTTGCCTCACATGTGCAAGCTCACATTTTTTGGTATTTGTATGATCCATTTCTTAGAAACTCAGTGGAGTGCAGGATGGAAATAATGAATTCAAAACCAGAATGTAATCAGATGAAATTTACTGAGACATTTGAGTTGTGTGTTTCAACTGGCCAGATGACGAGCCGGTGACTCTCCCACTGATTTATTCCCAAACTGAACGCTGAAGGTTGAAGTGTGATTGACAAGCTGACTAGCAATCTATCTGACTAACAGTTGCTGTGTTGTCTATGTACCATCAACACAATGTGGGGAGATGTTTGGGGGGGGGGGGGGGGGGATTTTGATTATCTGGATGACCGGGCTGATCGAGCGTCTGACCTGAAATTTGGTGGAAACAAATGCTTCTGTTTTGGAGGTGGTGGATAGCACTTAGGTAAACCATGTAGAGTTGACATGTTTTTTTTAATTAAGCTCTATCTCAGGATGAAACATTTTTATGGTGCTACAACTACTTCTTTGCATCGTCTTGATTGGTCTAAATTATGTAATCTATTGGATAATTTCTGAATTCTAAAATGAAAAGATTATCTGCAGAAAATGTGTTTTCAACTTTTCTGACAACTGATATATTAATAGAAGAAAGATGCCCCTCTAGCTGCACCCTCCTCCTCATTTCTGGAGCTTGATTACATGAAGAAAATGAAAAAAAAAAGTAACCTGAATGTCAAGTTAAAGGGCAAAACTTTAAAAAACGTGCCGTCATGTGGTCCTAATATGTTAAGATACATGACATTTTAAAGCAAAAACCATGTGTCTTACTATTATTTAATTTTTAAAAAAATCAAGAGATATTCACTTTAAAAGATAGAACAAGACATGTTTGGGTGTTTTGTTTGAATTAAATAATTATTTTCCTTTCTAAAGCCTCCTGTGGACAGGTGTTGAGAACTAGCATGCTCGCTAAAACACTTAAACAATGCATCTGGTTCGTCCAATGTATCTGTGATGTCCATGCCACATAAAGTCTATTATTATTATTATTATTAAAATTGTGCTGACTATTAACTGAAATTGTGCTATACATGATCATGTAGATGTTCCTGCCTTACATGGATGAAATGGTTTTGAAAAGCAGCCTGATAAACCGTCTGAGCAGGAGGTGGACTGTCTGAGGATTGTTTGACTTAATAGTGAGAAACTGTGCTATCTGCCTGACTGACTAATGAGCTCCCCCTGCGATGTGGGTCAGAACCATGCTGGCTGGCGCAGGCAGATATGCTGTCATCCTTCCACACTTTTCCGCCTCTTTATGTGGATTTAATCCACTCTCATTCATTTTTTAAGAGAGCAGAGAGAGAGCGGTGTGTCCACTAAACGAGACACGGGCGTCTCAGCAGCAGCAGCAGCAGCCGCCTGATATGGACGATTCTCCTGATTCACTTACAGGCAGACACAAAAGGTTCCCACATACTCCCCCTTGCTTTTTAACCCCCTACCCCACTATGATGAACACACACACACATATACGACACACACACACAACCACTATAATATAAAGTGACATCATAGTGTGTGGGTCAACGACCAGCCATTGAATTATCGTGCACTGCAGGCAACGCCCTTGTGTCTTCTTGCAGTGGCTCAGTCGGTAGTGTGTGTGTGTGTGTGTGTGTGTGTGTGTTGTTGTATGTGAGAGCGATGGTACCATATGGAGGAGGAGCAGACAGGCTGTTCAGTGAAGCCCTGCCCAGCTCCAGTGATACTGCAGTCATTCCTGCTGACCTGTCATCCTCCAGTGTGTCAGCAGCCGAGCCAGCAGAGACACAAGAGGAGAGAAGACCTCGACAGCAGGCGCCCTGAAGTGCTACACCTTCATGCTGCTGCTGATGTGCAGAGTCAGACAAAAACCACATCCACTTTCCAACAGGATTTAGAGCAATCTCATTCTCACCACCCACACAAAGACACACACTGTCTTACTGTTCTGCTTACGTAACAGCTTATGGACGATACTGAATAAGATAAGATAAGATACTCCTTTATTCATCCCACAACGGGACATTTACGGGGAACGCAGGACTTTTTTATCTTTTTTCTCTGTAACTACAATATTTCACTTCTCATTGCTGATATAACAAGTCCTTTAAAATCTTTGTGATTTTTCACACTTAAATATAATAGAAATCAATAAATCGCATGTAAAGCCTTTAAGTCTCGCTTATCTTATTTAATTTTTTTAAAGGTGTTTTATTAAAGTAAATCAAGGATGTAAATAATGTTTAGGTAACTAGGTTCAGTTGTTAATTAATACACATGTGGGTCTCTGGCAGCAGAAATAATTTAATATTTTAGAAAACGTATCGTCCATCTTCAACAACAAACTGTGTCAACCACAGAACTGTTGCGGGTTGAAGATCTCTTCATCTAGAGACGTCTTTAGAAACCATTTGACACACAGTGATAAGCGATATCCGGCTATGACTACACAGACGATACTTATCAGTCAGAGAATCTGTCGTAGTTTTTTCCTTTTAAAAATGAGCAAAATATCCCAAACAGACTCTGGAACAGTGTTACTGTAAGAGTGTTGTGTAAGGGCCATTAGCAGACGTGCTCTCACCCTCTGTCTGTCTGTCCGTTTGAGTGATTGTCAGTTCTAACGAGAGCATCCATTTTCCAATAGGCTGATATGTGATCCCTCTGATGGGAGTGGAGGAGGACGTATCCCATAATGCACCAGGAGCTGATTGTAAAAAACCCACTAAGGATTTTCCCTACACATTCATCAGCTTCTCCCCAACACAGAGCCTATTCACATGACTGTCCTGTTTTGACTCTGTGTGTGTGTGTGTGTGTGTGTGTGTGTGTGTGTGGCAACTGAACACCAAATGAGACATAAAAAAAAAGAATCTAAGTGTAGAGAAAGAGCTTTAGAGGAGAAGGAGCGAGCTTCAGAAGAAAACAGAACGCGGCAGGTGTTTGGGATATGATTGTGTGTTTATCTGTGGAGGGAGGGTTGTGGTACACGGTCTAGCCTGGCAGTCATGTGAGGAGTCTTAGCACTCATTTGTTTCAGTTTTGAGTAACAAGCTGCTCACAAGGAAGGAGCGGAGGCAGTTAAGACAGAGAAGGAGACATAGCTAAAGGCAACAGGAGAGAGAGAGAGAGAGAGAGAGCTTAACGACAAACAAGGAAGAAAATGTTTGTGAGCTTCTTCCACTGTTTCAAGGATGTTTCCTGCTAGTGTGTCATGCTAACCACAGGCTAACCAGGGACAGGCTAACAGGAAGAGCAGGACATGACCTCATCATGGCAGAGTCACAAAGAGTGCATGATATTTACATTGTGTGCATTTTATGGCAGCTGGTCCATCATTCATTGTGTTTTTTCAAAGAGTGGATTACTAGCAGTTACTGGAAAAACTGCTAAAAGGTGAAATATGGGGCACAGAGCTGCTCAAGTATTTAGCTGAACCGGTTTGCTCAGCACAACAGATCCGGGGGGGGGGGCTACAGGCAAACCCATGTGACTGAACCTTTACTAAACTTCAGTCACAAGAGACAGAGCTGGAGGTTTGCAGTGGAGGAGACACCTAGGCCTGTCCTGCCGTCACCCTTCCTCCTCTTCTCTCGCCAACACACCTCGACTCTCCTGAGAGGGACGGAGTAGATCTTTAGTTCTGAGCAGAGCGATCGTCGAGAACTTCACTTAGAGAAGTCGTGTGTTACTAACTGTGTGATAACCAAAAATCAAATCCGTTGAGAGAATTTGTACCAACAAAAATCTAAATCAGTTAATTTCCTTAGTTTTGTAATGAATATAACAAGGATCACATTCCACAGCAGAGCCACATTTTGAAACATGCAGGTTTTTACTGATAGAGAAGATTAATTAAGATTTACTGGATTGATCCCTGCAAGGGGAAATTTAAGTTTTTACACTCTGTTAACCATGCAACACACACATAGGCTGAACTATACACACAGACAGGATCCTATGGACATGCACTAATGGAGAGATGTCAGAGTGAGGGAGCTGCCCACAGCGGGCGAGTGATGCCACTCTTATGTCCGTTTGGTAAATATGCAGTTATCACCAGCAGCTGGCTAGCTTAGCTTGACATCTGCTGGCTCGTACAATCTGAGGAAAACCTCTGATGTGTGAACTCATTCTCTATATTAAAATGACCGTTTGACTGGGTACAAATGAACAAACATCTAAGTGTGATTATGAGTACGTGCAACTCTCTTTGCAGAGTTTGGTCTTCTCCCCTCAGGCAGACGGTACAGACTTCCTGTGGTGAAGACTAAAAGGCATCGGGTCTCATTTGTACCTGCTGCTATTCGTCTGTTGAATAGCAGTTGAATTCTAATTCCTTTGCTCATTGCACTTTATCATTTTTATCATGATGATGGAGCATCTCTGCTGGGCTTCATGTTTCATGTTTGGATGATTTATTAGTGTTGTTTATGTATTTATGTCTCCAGCTGCAAACAAATTTCCCTGTGGGGACAATAAAGAGACCTTTGACCTTTGATTACCTTTAGTACCTGCTTTTCTCACACTTGTCTCCATTGAGTACAAAATGATTCCAAATAGTAAAGATTCTGTTCATTTTCTCTCCTTTCCCAGATATATTGGGAGCTTACCACCATGCAGTAACAACCAAAACTCTCACCCTGACTCATCGAACTACTGTGGGATTTAAACCGGGTGTCAACCTACTGCAGCACTGTTGTTTTTAACAGTTCCCCTTTCTGTTTCAACTGTGATTTCATCTAAGTTGTGTTTATGGATTGAGCCTTGTCAAAAGGAGCATTTGTGTCACTGCTGGGACAGAAAATGAAGTTTATCTATCAGTAACATTTTGGTATTGTCCCTTTTTTTTAAATTTATTTTATATCTTGTAATATCTTCTTATTCTGTATTATTTAAGTTGTTGTTAGTTCTGCTTTATTTCCTTGTTAATTGTTTAGCACCAATACACCAAGTCAGATTCCTTTATGTGTAAATGTACTTGGCAATAAACCCAGATTCTGATTCTGATTCATTTTCTGTTATGGTCAAACCGATGGGATACAGCGTGTTCATTAGAAAGCTTTTAAGATGCTGGTAGGTGGGTTCTGTAGTTTTTACACAGCTTTATTAAATCCTGAGGTTAGCTGTTAGCTGAAGCTTTACATTAACTGTACAGACATTTGAGTGCTATTGAACCTCAAACTCTCAATCTTTTTTTTCTTTTTTTTTTTAAAGTGATAAAGCCTTCTTTAGAAACGTTTCCTTGAAGGGCCCCTCTCTTTACAACTTTATGTTCAAATGAGCTGAAATCCTATTTTTTGGAAGAGCAGAGTCATGGTGTGTGTGTTCTGACTTTCACATGTGGAAACCATTACTGCCACACACTGTATTGCATCATCTTGAATGTGCCCTTTGGCTGTTGATGTACTGTGACCGGTGTTTTGGACGCCTGGGTTGGAGCTATACTGTTTGACAACAACTATTTCTATTGCAGCGTACATAAGAGGGGACAGTGAATGAAACGTTGAAGACAATCTGCAGAGTCCCTCTGCACCTTTAAGAAAAAGCTAAAGACCCAGCTCTTTCATGAATACCTACTAACTTAATGATGATGGTCTCCATATTATTGATGATGATGATGGTAATGACGATGGTTTTTGTTTGATAACGACGACTTATAAGATGGTTTCTATACTGATTAGAGCTCTCAAGAACTGCCCTCAATGTTGTGCTTTGCCTCTGGTCACTTCCTGTCAGCACCTGTGTGTCCAATCAGACTCAAAGCTGATCGTTTGCTCTTACTCACATTGTTCCCTTTTTTCTAGATCCTTGCTTGTGTTGTTCTTACTCTCTGATGTACGTCGCTTTGGAGAAAAGAGTCTGCTAAGTGAATTGTAGAATATGGTTTTGCTTCTGTTACAGGTTGTAATTTGACACTCTGTCGCTGAATTAAAAACTGTCTAAATAGAAGAAATGCAATTTCATTTTTGCCACCAAGATTTAACCGTACAATATGTTGAATTTTTTAAGCTAAAATATCAAAATTCAGAGTTATCAAGCAACAGAAATCTCTAATTTTATAGTTGTAGCAACAAGACAAGACTATTTACAGTGACTTGTAATGCTGTGTTTGGATATGGTTTTCTATACATTTCATTAAAATGGCTTAATGGCTGTGTTTTCAGGCTGTAGTAGTTTTAATGTTAGAAATGTGATAACTTGTTTATCACTTTAGTTCAGTATTACTCAAGACCAATAACATGGGCAGGACACAGAGCACCCATAACTCCAACCTCTGAAGACTATAAACTTAATGAGACTCTAAACAGCTGTCCTGCAGGCTTGGCAGTCTCTGGTCTTTTATGTGAGCTGGCACCAGGGTCCACTTTAACCCCCCTTCCCCACAATGAAGAGTAAAGCAAACAATGTCGGCCCAGCCAAGAAACAACAAGCCATGAGTCAAATCTATTCAAAGCACAGAAGGAGGTTTCATGCAGAGATTTGCCTGGAAGTTAAGGTCGACGTTGGCATGGTGGTGACTGAACCTCACTTAAGACAGACGACTGGGTATTAATGGGTTCAGGTTTGTTTGTGTAAGAGAAGAGCTTCCCTCCAAACACACGCACACAACACACTTCCTGCGAGGAAATACACCAGATTAAAGCAAGGATGTTTTTTTTGACTGAAGCAAAACACAGATTTCTGCCTTTCTTTTCTGCAGTTTCACTGATCTCATTGTTCTTGTGAAAGATCACTCCATTCAATTCTCTTTCACAGTTACTCAGTCACATTTATTAAAGCAACAAGTCCCTACTTTGGTTACAAAGTTGGAAAAAATAAGGACGACTACAAAATAAAAAGACAAATTAGAGCAAGTTTTTGCACATCATCAGCACTCGTACATGCTACTTTTCTTTCTTGTTTTTTGGTTGACAAGCGAGAGACGTGAGTCAGATTAAAGATGTGTAGCATTACAGGGGTTGACATTAAGTTTGCCTCTGGTCCACTGGGTTTCAGAGATCAGTGGCCCGACCCATGTAGCCGCTGGCCCAGGAACATTACTTTTGATTCGAAGAATAACAGTCACCAATTTACTCTTGAACCATTCTGATGCAAAAGTCAATTACAACTTTTATTTAATGAATTGAGCTCTAATTATAAACATATTGTGTATTCTTCTTATATCTATGTGCTCATGTTTATTCACCATGCTGCTAACTGTAAGAGTCTACTTAATGTGATATTAATATGAGGCTGTGATAGATCTGGAATCTCTCCTTCTTTCTTCTCTGTGAGAAACTCTTCATCCTTACATCTTTACTTTAGGAGCTCTCTTCAGGGCTAACATGTTTTGTGAATAACTTTTATCTTCAGCAGGATCTAGTCTTTAACTTTAACGTGTTCCAGCTCCTCCAGCTGTCTGTCACTGTGGATCAAACTTTTCTCTCTTCTGTTTTCGTCCTGCTGTCACTCTCCACTCTTGAACGTGTAATCAGCTCAGACTCTGTCAATCATTCATCCGGGCGTGCGGGTCAGTTATAATGTCGAGCCCTGCATTCGTTTGAGAGTCTAGCGCTCCTGATTTACCTTGAACCTCTTGTCCTGCAGAACCTTCTTGATCGCCACCAGCTCTCCAGAGTCGCACAGTTTGGCCTGGTAGACGACGCCAAACGAGCCGTTGCCGATGACCTTGGTGTCCGTGTAGCTCACCTCCTGTGGCCGGTCGGGGCCTTGGCCTGGAGTGGCCACGACTGTTGTTACCTTGCTGCCATCTTTATCCCCTGAAGAGAAACAAACACAGAGAGGGGAGATCAATACAAACGCTTAGAACTCACTTTTCTTCGGCAAAATAATTCAGCACTTTGCTTTCCACAAAGTCAAACCTGGTCGTGGTCCGTGCACGGTTTGGGCTAACAGTCAGTAAAACTAGCTTACTCCTTAAGAATCAGCTCGTTTTTTTCCCACAGGCCGGAGAGCCAACTAATAACTCCACTGTAGAAAACAACAGCCATGGTGAGACCTCATCGTCTCTTCAGACTTTGGGAGTCTTTATCAGCAAAACTTGAAATGTAGTGCCAACTTAATGTTTGAGCTAAAAGACGCACAGCACCATGTCCCAGTCTGTGGACCCCGATGAACTACTGGTTTGATTTTAGGTCTATATCGCCTATTAGGGTCTGAAAACAAAAGGCACAAAGTAATGGTTTGTCATGCTGACAGCTAACTGTAGTGATGCTAGCAGTTAGCAGTTCTGGACCAGCTAAGTGGTGCTGCAGATTCAGAACCCGATTTCTTTTTGGTAGCAGCAGGGTAAGAGAGGAACCTGAAGAACAAAGGTCATGTCATGCATTTTGAGTTAAAGTGAAATTCCCTACCACAGGTCTTATTCATATTTCCTGTGTTTGCCTCATAAAAAGACTTGAATCAATTCTCTAATTTCACATGTGAAACCAGTCATTTAAACACTGGTTGTGTTCCATTCCCAGTAAGCAACGACACAATGGCAGAGAGAAACAATGCACACAAAAGAAAACCTGAAAATACAGCTGCTGACTGGAATTCAGCCATCTTTCATTTTTATAATCTACACCCGTGCGTCTCACGTCTTAAAGAGTGTCTTTAAGAGTCAGACTCAGAAAACACCGTCTTCTTGGAGATGCTGATTTTTGATTGACAGGTTGCAGCTTTCACTATGTGACTGTGACTGTGAGACACACAACCATTTTTGGCTTCCTACGGCCGTTTTAAGCCCCATTCGTTCCAGCAGTGCTTCCTACTGGTCAACAGCTGTGGTTTACTGATCAGCTCCCAGCTGACTGTGTGTGAATGTGTGAATCATGGCTGAGCTGAAACAGAACATCCAACTGTTCCTTTTTAAAGAATCATTACATGGTGCCCTTAAAACAAAGAAAGGAGGACTGCTGGGTTTTAGTTGTTTTATATATCCGGTTTGTGAAAAAATGTAAATGTCATGATGTTAAAAAAAACATAAAAGTATGAACAGCTATTGCCAGAAACACACTCTTTTTAAATGATATTGATCTGTGTGTTATAGCAGATAGAAGCTTTTAGCCACATAGTTCATCCATCAAATAACGATTATCAGTGAGGAGCTTTCTGAGGCTCTCCCAACTGGATACGACTCATTACCTTAAGACGGACTCACCAACCATGGTGAGCAGACACGACCACTGCAATACCCAAGATCATGATCAGTGAAAAGTCATAAGATCTGTATCTGATGCTAATGCACTATGGATCAGTATCTGCCCCTCCCTCCTCTCCAGTCTGCCTCTGCTCCCCTGAGATCCCAACATGGAGGCTCTTTCCTGTTTAAGTGGGTTCCCTCCCTCCCTCCCTCCCTCCCTCCCTCCTCCTCTCCACAGTGTCAAGGGGCAAAATTCACATTAGCTGGCTGTAATAGGACGTCCAGGCGATTGTGTGTATGCGTGTGTGTCGCATGCCACAAACGTTTGGCCTGCTTCCTAATTCTAATCACAATTTCACCACAGAATCTGTACAATTAAATCCCCCTCATAATCTTTGTATTAGTTTAATACTTGTTGTTTTTTCCCCACAAAACTGCACCCAGAACAAAGAAACACATTACTAAAATCATTTTGAATATCTTTGATAGATTTGCCTAATTCTTGACGAGTTTGCAGAGACAGTCAGCCTACGATCAAATCTGTCTCCGGCTCTCAAGTGGGTACAAATCATGTTGAGGGGATTTAGTGCCGCTTAATACCCGTGACTGTCCCTGATTATTATGGTGTCATTTAATAGAAACGTCCTGCAGCATGCTGGGAGCAGACCACCTCCATGTGGAGGACACTGACAGGCCACAGAGTCTGATCCATACGAGGAGGGAGTGACCATGCATGGGCTGCAGGCTTCTTGCAGATTATCAGCATGTGATCAGTCTGTTTGGAAAATTAACTAAATGATTTGGAGATTAACCCCCGAGTGGCTGACGAGCAGAAAGTGGACGTTTTGACTAAGACGGTAACACAGAGCGCTGTGATGCTCTCATTGGCTCATTTTCCAGCTGTGGCATTGATTTTGACACTAATAGTGCCTACATAGACACAAGCACTCAAACGTGAGCAAGAACAGTCCAACCAAGACATAAAATTATCACGCATGTGTTTGCACTTTTTTTTTTTGCTACCGTGTGACCAGTGAGTGGTCCAATTACTGAAGATGAGATGAAAGGATAGAGAGAGAGAGGGAGAGAGGGAGAGAGAGAGGGGAGGGGAGGGGAGGGGAGGGGTGAGAAACCAGCAGGGCCTTCACTCCCCCTGACCGAGTCTAGAAAGAGTAACTGAACTCGGATTGTGTAACGACAGAAATAGACTTTCCGAGAGAGAGAGAGAGAGAGAGAGAGAGAGAGGAGAGAGAGAGAGAGAGAGAGAGAGAGAGAGAGAGAGAGAGAGAGAGAGAGAGAGAGAGAGAGAGAGAGAGGGCGAGTGGAGAGAGAGAGAGAGAAAGAGAGAGGGTGAGTGAGAGTGAGAGAGAGAGGGTGAGAGGGCGAGTGAGAGTGAGAGAGAGACATAGAGAGGGTGAGAGGGCGAGTGAGAGTGAGAGAGAGAGGGTGAGAGGGCGAGTGAGAGTGAGAGAGAGACATAGAGAAAGGAGTTAGACTCTGCTCTCTTCATATTCCAGCAGGGCCTCTTCTATGACGCCTCTGCACTTCCTCAAACCGTGAGAAAAGTCTGTGCACGCTCACGCAGCAACAACTCGTACTGTACAAGCACAGAGAGGTCTCACAACGGGAGAATACGAGATGACACAGCAATCAGGGTGCATGAAAAGGATTTTTACATGGCTGATGGAAGTCAGCACCAAGCATGGCCTTTTACACACTTATACACTCGCTATGGGCTTCAAATATGGTCAAGAAATTATCCTGGATTTGCTTCTATTTTATGCTTTAAGGAAACTGTCACAGCCAGATTTTACTCTTTTTAGAGTTTGAAGAACCTTTTCATTTAAATACGTTATTACCAAGTGAACCAACGGAAAATCAAATGTTAGAAATCTCCCTCGACTCAAACTAAACTTGAAATCACAGCCTCTACAGAGAACACATACATACAGTGCGTGACCAATCACAGAGCCTGATTTCATGTTAAAGGCTGCATCAAAGTGACAGAGGAGAAACAGCTGCTGCAACTTTTAGCATCAATACTCAATTCAGGTCACCAGAGTAGTTTCAGGCCAGAGCAGAACACAGCTAACAACAACGTGTGTATGAATGAGGCCAGACACCACCACTGTTATGTGCTTACAGGACACATGTAGGATTGATTGAACAATGTATCTGGTGCTGTCATGGCTACCAAAATACCATGATGCATCTCTGACTGTCATGATGAAAACGCAGACTGCCTGATTTAAAATGACCATAATGAAGCGTTAAATCAGGCGACATGATTCACCTGTAAGTACAGCACAAACAACTGTTACTGCCAAACTATTCACACAATAATGTGTAGACACGATGTGCGCAGGATAATGCGTGCACACTCTCCTGGCTGTCATTAAACGCACTGATGATAGTGCAATGTTAATGGGGTTGCAGACACTTCTGACGGTCCACAAATAACAGGTGCAGGGTTTTTAATGGAGTTTTTTTATGGGCTTAATTAAGAGCATTTTTGAGGGTTTTTTTTGGATGGAGGTGCAGAAATGATCTCTTAAACAATCTTTTATTTTGTCTATTAACGCACATGATGTGCATGCACAACATATTTTTTCTGAAAATTCTTGTTTTAATCCATCTGCAGGAAAATTGATGCATTAAGAAAAAGCAAATACGTCCTCCACATTTACAAACTTTTTACAACCGGTATATGTTCCCTTCATGTTAGCAAAGACAAATAAACAATCACAGGCTTATAATTATTACTGAATATCTTTTTAAAACTCTCATTTGACCCGAGTCCTCTACTCTGTAGGTAACCTGAGGATACAAATGAAGTGATTAAACCACGAGACACTCCGAGGTCACAGCGGTGACATCATTCATGACTGAACTGCAGTTTGAGGGGAAACCTTCACACCACTCTTTAAAGCCGTTTTCACATCTGCACTCCGGATAATATCTAGATATTTACAGGAGGACTTCTCTGGAGATTCTCCTGACCTAGCCGTTCAGATATGCTCCTCACAGCGGGGGACTTTCCCTGTCAGAGGGGGCGCTACACAGCACTATAATGACCAGACGTTTAATTAGAGCACGGAGATCGTAGAGGTCGCGTGCAGACACTTTAGACAGCCACTGTTTTATATGCTGCTGCATTCTGACATCAGCTCACTCGGATATTCTGCTGATAAAATACTAGAGGTCTGGAGGAGAAAACTCTAAAGGGTAAAGTCCGCACGAAAAATGCGTCTGTTTGCGTTCACACAGCCTAAAGAACCTCCAGGTAGACTAATCTCTGGAGTTTTTCAGGAGATTTCTGTATGTGTGAAAAGGGTTTATGAATCACTTCCAGTGACTGTCACAGACCCTAATCCTGCAAAACTGTCCATGTTTATAAACCAGTCTGAAATCTGGGAAACGCAGTCGTATGGATATACACAGCATGTATTTACTGAGAGAATATCGCAATTAGATTCACCCTCTGAATTGAAACAATAAGGCTGAGTACTAGAAGATGAATGTAGTGACATGCTGTCATGGCAGCACTGGGCTGCAGGGAGAGGGAAATCTGTGATGAATATATGTGGAGATTTGCATAATTCCTGGGCAGCATACGGCCACAAGCTAAAGGCA